CTCGGGCTTATACAGGTTAGCCTGCTGGATATTATGCATGGGTCCCAATGAAATACAGTACTATAAAACCGTAAGTATCCCATATAGATTTGCAACTATAGTCAATATGAAAAACTCTCCGAAAATCCGTTGGATTTTGGCTGTGTTTTACATGCAGAACCATAAGGTTTAATCCTTATGGTTCTGCATGTAAAACACAGCCAAAAATGTTGAAAATTATTTTACGAGCTGATGATTTTATATATATATACATATATATATATATATATATATATATATATATATATATATATATATATATATATATATATATATATATATATATATATATAAAATCATCAGCTCGTAAAATAATTTTCAACACCAAATTATCAGCAACATCAGCTCGTAAAATAATTTTTACAAGCTGATGATGCTGGTAACCATAATCCAGCGAAAATTTCTAATAATAAATTAATAATTGTATTAAGAGAATTCGTATTAATTGATGTTTTCTGACTAATATAACATATACTCTTATACACGATATCAACACTAAAGATATATCTATATGTATATATATATATATATATATATATATATATATACATATAGATACATATGTGTGTGTGTATATATATATATATATATATATATATGTGTGTATATATATATATATATATATGTGTGTGTGTATACATATATATATATATATATATATATATATATATATATATATATATATATATATATATATATATATATATATATATATATATATATATATATATATATATATATATATATATATATATATATATATATATATATATATATATATATATATATATATATATATATATATATATATATATATATATATATATATATATATATATATATATATATATATATATATATATATATATATATATAGTCTTGCATGGTAGTCACAAATTTTTTTTTTTTAAATGATAGACTGCCTGCCCAAACCAAACCCTCAGTCAATGTAGCAGCACTCCCTTTCAAGTCAGGTTATTTGTCAGTCGATGTAGCAGCACTCCCTTGCGAGTCAGGCTATTTGTCAGTCAATGTAGCAGCACTCCGTTGCAAGTCAGGCTATAAGATAGTTGATATAGCAACACTCCCTTGTAGCAGCAGGCTATAAGATAGTCGATGTAGCAACACTTACGCATGTTTTAAAAATATTTTTTAATAAAACAAAAACAAAAACACCACTAATTAAAAAAAACTTTCTAGTCATTATTATTGCGGTTTTTTTAAAAAACAATAAAATTTAATGTACTTCCGCATTAATTTAATTGCTTTGGCATTTCTATGACAATCAAATACAGCTTAAGCAACGAGGTAATATAAAGTCGAAAGAGACTTTTTTTTTTACCATAAAAGTCTCTTTCGACTACACTATAAGGATATATATATATATATATATATATATATATATATATATAATATATATATATATATATATATATATATATATATATATATATATATATATATATATATGAGATAATTTTACCTTGTTCATTTACTTCAAGTACTATGTTAAATTTTTATAAGTATTTTTTTGCCTTTTAACAAATTCTTCTTCACTTGATGATGACGAATCATCTGATCCTAAGTTTTCTCTAGGAGATATAATCAAACCGTTATCATTTGTTTAATTGTTTTTGTTATGATTTATTTCATTGTTTTTGGATAAAAAAGATTCAAAGGTAAACTTTTCCTTGCGTTTTTCCTTTTCTTAAGATTGTTGTTAGAAGCTAAAATGCTAATCCGCTAAAACAAGGTTTTCTTGTTCTTATTTTGCCATCAGGGTGTTCTGCCAAAAATGACTCCATTGCCTGTTCATATTCTTCATTTGAGAGTACCTTATCATAGTTTCTTAATTGCAGCAATGCTTCGATAGTTTCATTGCAAAACTTTTTTCTGTCTTAAATAAAATTTCTAGTAAATGAAGAAAAAACATGTTCAGCCTATAAACAATATATAAGTTTTAATGTATTTTTTTGCATGTATTAGTTTACTAGCTAAAAGTAATACATATGACTAAAATAAACCTCTGCGTTTAAAATATAATGCATATCTTTATAATATGCAGAAAATTCTTTATGTTTAGCTTTTCCACTAGTTGGAACAAGCATACCCAACACTTGTTGGGTGTACATGAGTTTAGAAAACAACATTTATGCGAAGGGGCAGTTTCGATTTCCAAGGCTAAATAAAAAAGTAGTTAAAAATACTTGGCTAATCATGCAATTAAAATGAAAAGCAATAAATAAAAAAGATTAGAACCTAAACAAAATTCATATACCTAATCGATCTTCTTTGAAGTTGTTTTCTTCTAACAGCGACTTGAACTGTTGTACTAATATCATAATGGCGGATATTAAATCTGCATAAATTCTGCAACTATAAGATCTGTTATCAAGATGTATTGCTCTTGCCGAACTTTATTATAAAGAAATTCATCAGGACGCTGTTTCAAGCATAAATTTATATTTTTACATATTTGAGAAAAGGTGGTCAGGGCTCCATTTAAACACAATTCCAAACTACCTCCGTGCATTGCATATCTGTGAAAGGTTGTCAGTTTATTACTAACATCTTTATCTTTAAAATTTTTGTTTCAAACCATTTTTATGTTTGCAAATGCAACGTTTTTTCAGAAAATTGTTGATAAGGAAGGATTTCGTTATTTAGTGTAGGAAAAAGATCTCGTTTGAAAACGGCATTTTCTTCAACTAAATCACATTTTTTGAACACATCTTAGCTATGTTTCAATAGCTATAACTGCTTCTGATACTAGTAAAGACGTTTTCTCAAATATAAGAGATAATGGAACAGTATAACTCAAGATATCCCATTGTAATGCTTGATAAACTAGTAATTTCATATCTGATGCATCCTTTTGAACGCCTTCGATTCTTGATTGATCTTTCTTTATAGTTGTATTGTATGAATTTTCTACTTGTTCGTTAGTCATCAATAAAACAGGAAGGTTCTGCAAATGAGTGTCAATAGTTATTACCTGATGACTAATCCATCTTGTTCCATCTGGGCGTTTGTATCTAAATGATTTGCGTTCAGTAAAGTCTGCGCAGCGTTTAGACAATCTCCACTTCAAAGTGGCTTTTTTAAAGAGTATATATTCTGACACTAACTAATTGTGTGCATCTTTTTCAAGTTTCACGCCACTAAACGCTTCTTTCAAAGCAATTTCTAATTTGTGCGACAAACACCAAGTAAATAATAGGTATTGACCAACTTCTTGCGTTTCCGGTTTTACAAATCTTTTATTGACAGCAGCCCCATCTGCACTGATGCCAAATAAACGGCGATTTCTTAGAAAACTAAGCACTGTGAAATGCTTTTCATTGTATTGTGAAGGTCTTTAGCATCTGTGTCAACTGGCTCTTGCAATGAAAGTACATCAAATTTTGGCATGCTGTTTTGACAAGTTTTTATCAGGTATAGCTCTTTTTCATTGTATATCTTTGAAAAAGAAGATCTGTCACATAAAATACTGAACTATGTATGACTTAAGTTATTTAATGGCTTGGTGATATTTTCTTGTAATAGAGGTTTTTCCAAAAACACAACCATTTCTCAACAGCTTTTATGACTTGAATAAGCATTCCCTGTATCTACCTGTGATTGTTTTTTTCAAACTCGCCAATTTGGTTATATATTTGAAATGATAAATTTTTTCTCACAACAAAATGTGCAAGCTGAAACATTTTTAACAGTTGCTTTCTCTGAATAATGTTTAACTGTCGCAAAGGGACTAAAATACTCTCCTCGGTTGATACTTATAAAGCATTTGGAGTTTTTTGGCCTCAGTCATATCCATAGCTTTGGTTGATTTTTGATTCACTCCTTCTTTTAAAATACAGACAGCTTTGAGGTGATGTTTAGCATTTGCTATATGATCTGCGGCATTATTTTTCTTTATTGTAGACAAACCTTTAGTCTAATTAGATACAACATTTTTTGTAATTCCCTTAAATTTTATTAGTCTTGCTTTTCCGCTATTATTGTCAAAGTAATACTCTTTGCATATTTTGCAAAATATTGCATTAACATTTCTGTTTTCATCTGCCTTAACTCCATTTTTAACCATTTCTATATTTATATACCAAAATCTATTTTTTTTAAATATGTGCAAAATAGACTATATAAATAGGTGTAAGTAAAAAATTATCCCAATTTAATGATCCTATTAAAGTGAAACTTGTTTAAAAGATACTTACATAATACCTACATACATAACACTGCGTTAATTACCTACATAACATAAAGTTAATATGGTGCAGTATTTATTTGAACTGAAATGCCACAAAATAGTTTAAATAAAAATTTGTATGCACAATTAAGTGGAATTCCATTCAAATTTAAAAAAAAACTCTCTTAAAAAATATTTTGTTTTTTTATAAAAAAATGAATGAAAATCTAGTTATTAAAATTTTTTAAATTGTTTTTTTAATGAAACATAATAACGAAGATAATTTTATTTGATAAAAATTATCTTAGTTATTATGTACAAACACATTTTGCTTAATGAAAAATTCATTTTTCATTTGTGAAGACGAAAAATATAAAAATTAGATTACCATCATTTATCAAATGCTATGCTTATTTATGTACACGTGTTTACTGAGATTTTTTAAATGAGTTTAATCGTTTTAATTGGTACGAATGTTATATCATAAAAATGTAAAAGTTACAGTTGATATTTATTTTAACATAATTATGTTACAATAGTTTACAATTTACCGGATCATTTATATATGTACGAATGTTATAGTGTAAAAATGTAAAAGTTACAGATGATATATATTTTAACATAATTATGTTACAAAAGTTTACAATTTACCAGATCATTTATATATCCTGGAATTATTCCAGGGTATTTAAAGTAAAAAATATATCTACATACATATATATAATTTTTACTTTAAATACTTTTTATAGTTAGATACAAAAATATTTTATAGATTTCTTTTGAGTCATTTGAAAGTATTAAAAATGAAGACACACTATCTATTGTAAGTTTTTGTATTAAATTTTTTTAAATTAGATTTTTTTCATTTTTTAAACGTTTTTTTATTTACAAGGCACAAAATTATTTTTCTGAAACAAACACACAAACACACAAACACACAAACAAACAAACACACAAACACACAAACACACACATATTAGTGCAGAAGAATAGCATTAAAAATTAATGAAATTGTATACAAATGAATACAAAAGCATTTTCACTAATTATTCAGAAAATTATGCTGATCACTTTGAGATCTTTGATTGCAAAGCGTGGCATAACCATAAATAATGATTATTGATTTGGATTTATTAAAACTTTATTTAAACCTGTTCAACTAATTTCTAAAATCGTAGGGAAGTCAATTATATTGACCATTATATATGTTAGCTTACCGGAAATGACCCTGGGTGCAAAAATCAGAATGTAATGGCTATTATATGAGTGACTGCCACCATCTTTGATTATACATTTTTGCCTGGTGAAAACACAATAAAACCACATATTATAGATAATATAGACTCAAAAAACATATTATAAGATAATAAAGCACATATTATATGATAATATGACTCAAAAAACTTGTTATCATTTAATAGAGATTTTGTAGAAAAATTAGTATTATTACTCATCCTCCTTTTACAACTGGTCTGTGTATTATTACTCATCCTCCTTTTACAACTGGTCTGTGTATTATTACTCATCCTCCTTTTACAACTGGTCTGTGTATTATTACTCATCCTCCTTTTACAACTGGTCTGTGTATTATTACTCATCCTCCTTTTACAACTGGTCTGTGTATTATTACTCATCCTCCTTTTACAACTGGTCTGTGTATTAAAAGTTTGTTAAAATAAAATGTTGCTGCATTCTATTTATTGGTACTTCACAGCTGCAAAGAACATTTACAGTGGCTCTTGCTTCTAAAACAAGCACTCTAACTATGCTACAGACGCTTAAATGATAACAGTTACTTTTTTCTAGCTTCCAACTCTAGTCACTTAGACTAGGTAAAGATTTCGATACTATCAACATTTGACTCCAAATATACACCAATACACTGTACATTTCACATGAAGCATTATTGAATCACATGTGTGTGGAATGTTGCCAGTCTGCCAGTTCTTTTGAGTAAAAAAAATACTTCTAAGTAGTATTCACATTTGTTAATACATTTGATCATACAATATAGTAACAAAAGTTTCTTGCAACAGCATTGTTTTAGCTGTTGTTAGATTATAAGCTGCAGAAAGTGCCAAAAAAACACCAGAGACATCATCAAAATAGGGCCAGGTAAACGCAGTATTTTTATCCTAAGCAAAAAGCTTAGGTTGTATCTCTACTAGTAAATGCATAGAAAGCTGGTTATGCTTTTGATTTTAATGGTTTAAGACAATGTCAACATAAGTCAATATAATGGAAATGCATGCCAGTCCACATGCAATCCACAGCTGAAACTAATACAATATATATAAAAAGAAAACATCTGTATCTAATATCCTATTGGAATAATTTTGTAACCAACTTTTGCAGCATGATATGCATATAAATTGAGACGAGTGTCAGTTTTTTTGTAAGAAAACGGTTTAAGATTTTTATAGGCACAAGAGTTTGAGGACATTTCAAATCAGACAGCTCTTAAACGAAGAGCTTAAAATATGAGATTGATAGGGGATATGACTGACTTTAATTCTCAAAAAGTTTTCAAAGTTTCAAAAGAATATGATTGACTTTCATGCTCAAAAATTTCCAAAGTTTTCAAAAAATGTTTACCACTATTTTAGCAATAATGTATAATCTGGAAAATAAATCCTTTTCATTTTAAGTACACTTCAAGCGTTTTTAAGTAAACTTCAAGCGTTTTTAAGTAAACTTCGTTTGCTTTGCTGTTTATTAGATTGCAATAGTCAAGTTCTCAATACGAACAAGTTGTCTGTAAAGTCCTAATAACAAAACCATCTTGAACAAATTCGTTCTACTGAGTTTAAAAAAACTATGGTATTAGTTTGTCAAACTATCAAAGTATAGGTCTAAATGAGAAGTACGCAGAGACCTGACAAAGATAAACAGAATAAGCTTGATTTTCTTAATTGAACTCCAATAATCAAACTGTTAATTATTATTTCCTTTACGCACCAGCTAGTGGAAGTCAAAGGTTGAACACTGTCATCCAGCAAACTAAAATACAAATCGAATGTCTGATAGTGTAAGAAACATGATATGCAGAAACAGAAAACCTCCTGTACATATTGACAATATTTAACATGGGATGCTGATGAAAGAACTTCACCAGATGCCAGATGTTGCAATCCCAGCTGCAATAACAGCCTTAACCCAACCACTTTCCTTTGATAAGATACCAAGCACTTTAAGAAAAGCTAATTCTATTTGGAGACCACCCACCAAAACGACATATTTATCTTCCCCATACAGATCAAGCCAGTACCATTATTCAGTTTTAGCAATTGCATACAGTATATCATCAAATGTGATAACAGAAATCTGTTTAAGATTAAGACGATTAATCAGGTTAAAATGATGCATTTTATTATATTCATTGAGTATTGGATCACGGCAACATTATTGAAAGAATCCTAAAAAAGTAGCAACAATGAAACTTCGGGCTGCTGAGCTAATGAAATAGCTATGCTATGAAATCCTTCATGAGCTATTGTTGCTATGGGGTTATGGTCAATATTATTAGTAAACAATTGTTTTTTCAGTTGCAGTTTATGATTTGATCACTGTTATAATAACCATACACTTTATTACCTAATTCAGTTGTCAGTGCAAATATAAAATCATATGATACATTTTTAGTTGTATGCATAAGCAAACTAGCATGTATGGGTAATAAAGTTTTTTGTGATTGAATTTGTCTAGTGCAATCAACAAAAGAGTTATATTACCCTGATTGCTTGTGCTTCACACTATTAAAAGTAAGTAGTTGGCTTATAGTGAGTGCAGCTATTGTGTTATTTGGCTTGGTTTATATGTCAATGCTTTGACCTTCGAGTATTATAGTATTGAGCGCAAGGAGGTTTTTTGATACTGACCTTTTCTAACACTCTGGGTGATTGTAAAAGACATAGTGGTGTCAAAAGGTCAGGTCAGGTTATCCTGCTACTGGTAACATGTAATCCAGTACAACCTGCTTCATGTCTTGCTGCCTTGTAAGATTTTTTCAGGCAAAGACTAGGAGAAACCAACTCCGACTTAAAACACCCCCTGCCTTGGGGCTCTTGGTTGAGTAAAGGCTAGAGATGGTGTCTTGATAAAAATACTCTTCTTGGGCAGATGTTAAACGTAATTGGCTACTGTCTTGTAGAAGGCCTCCTAGGCAAAGACTTAAGGGGTAAACAGATTCTATCTGTTGACCAGCTCTGGACCTCTTCTTCATCTATTAGGCTGGTGCAGATGTATTTATAATACATTGTTTCCAGAGGCTGATTCCATCAACAACTGAAAAATATTGAAGTATTAACAGTGCCATGTTGTGCATGGATGTACTTTTGGTGTGCATTGTCAAGGCCTCATTTGGAGCCCTAAACCTATCATTCACTAATACTCATGGTCTTGGAAGTAACTTTTTTTCTTTTGAGTCTTATCTCTTGCAAAATTCACCAGACCTACTTACTCTATGTGAGACTAATTTGAGTTCAGCTGTCTCATCTTAGTTCTATATCACTTTCCTTCATCTCAAGGCTGCACTCTCTTTGATATTGTTTCTGATCAAATTGACCAAGCCCTCTCTCTTTATTCATCAGTCAATTTTGATGTTGTTGGTGACTTTAATACTCATCACACTAAATGGCTTGGCTCTAGTGTCAGTGGCTCTGCAGGCATTAAGGGCCACTACCTTTGCCTTTCTCAATCTCTAACTCAAGTATTCAACTTTTCAACTCTCTTTCCTGACAAGCGGAATTATTTACCTTCTTTACTATGACTTGTTTCTGATCCTAGTCAGCGCTCAGTTTCTCCACATTCACCCTTAGGTGCTTCTGATCACAGTTTGATCTCTCTAAAACTATCATCTCATTCTTCTTCATCGTCAGAATCCTCCTATCATTGTACCTCTTACAACTACCTTAAAGCTGACTAGGATTTTCTGTGATTTTCTTTGTGATGACCCTTGGGTAGAAATCTTTCGTCTTCCTGCTGAAAAATATGCTTCTTACATAACTTCTTGGATTCAGGCTGGCATGGAATCTTTTATTTAGGTTTTTCTCACATTGTGCTGCTGCAATTTCCAATCGAAACCATTACTTCCATATCTATCAGCAAAACAGTTCTCCAGAAAACAGACCTCTGTTTACTATTGCTAGAAACCATTGTAAAAAGGTTTTGTCTAATGCCAAAGCCCAGTATTTTAGGTCATGAAATCTTGTGTTTCATCTCAAAAGTTTCTCGTGACTTTCTCGTGAGAATCTTTAGCAATAGAAATCAATAGAAATCAAATCAAAATCAATAGAAATCAAATCAATAGAAATCAAATCAATAGAAATCAAATCAAAATCAATAGAAATCAAATAAAAAAAAATCAATAGAAAGGGCAAATCTATTATTCCAACTCTCTCTTGTATTGTTCAGATTTTGTCACGTCACCTAAAGACAAAGTTGAATTGTTTGCTAAGAACTTTTTATCGATATCTTCTCTTGATTCTACTAGTTATGTTCTACCTGATATAGCCCACAAACAGGTTGATCCATTGCTTGACGTTCATATCACTTAAGCTTCTGTATCTAAAGTGATTTCCTGCTTAGACTCTTCTACAGCATGTGGTCCAGATAACATACCTGTTGTTATGCAGATGTGTTCTTTGGAACACATCTGCATAACAACTGCTGTCGTCTATACTTTCAAAACTATTTAACAAGTGTCTATTGGAGTCTTCTAGCATGCTGGAATGGCATCTGTTCTCCATATTTTTAAAAATTCTAGAGAGTGATCTGACTCGTCTAACTACCGTCCCATTAGTGTTCTTCCTATCATAAACAATGTTTTTGAATCTTTAATTAACTGATACTTAATCTCTAATCTTATATCTTACTTTCTGATCATCAATATGGATTTTGATCTTCTAGTTCTACTGCTGATTTGCTAACAGTAATAACCTATAGATTTTATCGTGCATTAGATAGTGGTGGAGAGATTAAGGCTATAGCTCTTGATATTTTTAAAACTTTTGATAAAGTTTTGCATGCTGGTCTTCTCCATAAGCTTTCTTCTTACATTGTATCAATTAACCTCTTTAAGATTATTGAATCCTTCCTTTCCAATTGTAGTATAAAATTTGTCTTCGATGGACAACACTCTTCATATCTTGTAACTTCAGGGGTTCCTTAAGTTTCTATATTTGGCTCTATACTCCTTTTAATTTACATTAACGATCTTCCAGATATTCTCACATCTAAGGTGGCATTGTTTGCTGATAATACTACAATTTATTCTTGTCATGATAAGAAACCAACACTCTCTGATTGTTTAAAGGGGGCATTTGAGCTTGAAAAGGATCTCACTTCTACTACAGCATGGGGCTCACAGTGGCTGGTGAACTTTAATTCTGATAGAACTCAATTTTTTTTAGCCAATTGTAATCGCAAAAATTTAGATCTTTCTTTATATATGAATGGAAATGTACTTGATGAGTAATCTACCCTTTATCTTCTAAGATTAATTCTTACTTCCAATCTTTTTTGGAAACCATATATCAAATTTAAAAAAATTAAAATCTGCTAAGGTTGCATCTCTTTATTGTGCTCAACACTTTCTTACTCCGGATGCTATTCTTTATCTTTTTAAATCTCAAATTTGTCCTTGTATGCAATACTATTGCCATATCTGGGGCAATTCTTCCAATGATTCCCTTTCTCTTTTAGACAGGGTGCAAAAACACATTCTAAACATAGTTGAATCTGCTCTTGCAGCCAACCTTATCACATTGTTGTAATGTTGCTTCTCTTTCTCTTTTCTACAAATACTATAATGGGCACTATTCTATAGAGCTAGTGTCTCTTGTGCCACCTTCTAAAATTCATTCTCATGTTACTCGTCATTCAATTAAGTCTCATCCTTTTTCTGTGACTGTTCCTAAGTGCTCCAAAAACTCTTAATCGCTAGTTTTTTTCCTCAAACATTAGTTCTTTGAAATTCACTTCCTTCATCTTGCTTTCCTAATTCATATGATTTGCAATCTTTCAAGTCATCTGTCAATTGTTTTCTTGCTCTGTAAATTTCTTCTTTTCTCTTCCATTCTAACAGTCGTTGCTTCTTTGTTGGAAACGAATATGTTGAATTTTTTTTTTTCCAACATATTTTTTTTCCAACATATTTGCTTAGCTTGTGAAGTGAAGAAGTGTTGGACCAATGTCTTCATTAAAAATAAGTAATCATTAAAAATTTTTATTAAAACTATGTCAAACATTTTGTTGCTTATGCATGTTAGGAAAATGGGCTTAAAGTCTTTCTTTCAATCGTGTATTATAGATATGCTGAGTTGGCGTATGTAACATCAGTTAGATGAGACAAGCGATCGAGTCTAGCTAGATCAGCAAGTTCAAAGATGGGTTCTTATGCCTGACCTCTTTTCTTTAACGCAAGCTAATATCTAAGAAATACATATTTACACTCATGTTATACAGTTGGTTTCATAATCTGCTTGGTAGGTTTCAGCACACATGCGTCTATCAAAAGCACGTTTTTTTGTTGTACAGGTCATTAAGTATGATACTTAGCCTCTTGACCAATTAAGTTTATGTTTCTTAAACAATAATGTAGAATAACGCAAAGTAATGACACACTCAGTTACTTAAATATCCAGGTCCACTGTTCTTACAATGTGGACACAAAGCGTGTTTAAGACATCTACAACATATAGTTATACGTTATTACGTATTTTAAACGTCTTAAACACATCTTGTGCTAAAGAGACTCTATAGATATCTTTTTGGAAATATACAACCAAGATTATGGTGTTTTATAGAGTTAATTTATTTCATATATTATCTTATGTAGTTAATTTATGTCATATATTATTTTATTTTGTTGTGTAAAAAGACATAGTGTTTGCCTTAAATGTTTTTTGTGTGTGTATTTCTTTCATTTAAAACACATTTTTAAATATTACTCATATAAGAAATTTCATTTGATATCAAAATTTTTGTGTTATAATTTTTCATATGCTAATGTAAACATTAAATGCCAAGTAAGTCACTTTTTTTTTGCAGTCATTCTGGGAGCTACTGAAAAAAGTTACTCACAAGGATGTTCTTACTCAACTTCAACAGCTGGTTGTGAAAACTGATGTTGGTCTATGTCGAGTAATATTATTTTATTTTTTATTTGTATACCTTAAGGTTGCCATACAACAACAATACTAGTAGTTACTAACTCACTTAATAGTACTTGATAATATGTGATTCACTTGGTGATATTATAATGTTTATTCAAGTTGAAAAATAACTTAATAACTTGAATATAAAACTTAATAAATTTTTTATTAAGTTATTGTAATCATTATTTTTATTTTTATTAATAAAGTTAAAAAGAATATGAAGAGAAACAAAACTAATTTAACAAATTTTTTTTTCTAGTCATTTCTGGGAGCAACTCAAAAAAGCATGAGATTTAACAAAAATTTTTTTTTATAACTATCAATAAAGGGCTGTTCATAAATTACTAGCAAAAAGCAACCCGTAATACGGGTTATGGTCGGTCTGTTACATAAAGAATTTATAGTGGCTGTTTTCCACAATTTAATGTTGCAAAACCTTAACTAATACCCTTTTAGAAAAATGCCTTCAAATTGAAAAACTTAATCCATCTGTAAAATTAACATAAAAAGTATGAGGTAAAATAATTTACCAATTATTACTTAACATTATTTGAGTAACTGACGTAAGTCATAACAGTGTAAGGCAGAACCATTTTCCTCGACATTCCTAAGTTCAACACAATACGTTTTTAGTTACTGACGCAAAATAATAACATTTCATCATGCTTTAAATTGATGAAAATATCCAATAAATCCTTGTAGTAATTTTTATAACATGAACTTTAATTAATTATTAAGATTAAGTTAACTTATATTATACAGGAGTTATCAATTTTTTGGTATCTCTTTGATTAATTTTTCTTTAGAAAAGAAAATTGTTATCTTAAAAACGTTAAATGCACACAACTAAATAAATTTATTAAAAATAACTAAGTTTATTATAAATAACTAAGCAACTGAATACAAATACGTTTCAAACAAAAAAAATTTAATTTACAATCAAACATGTGTATAACAAATTTAAAAAAATATGTAAACTTTGATCTTTTATATTGCATTAATGCGTCAAATGACAAACCTAAAATAAAAATTGTAACAGATAAGTAGACATAAAAGAAAAGAAAAAAATAACTGGAAAACAATTTACCTGCTTTTGGTAAGCTGTTGTGATACTTCAGTTGTTGTCATGATGCAGCAGTTCTTATCAGTGTTGTTTAATGATGTTATTTTATGTTGGCTTTTAGCAAACTTTAGTTTAATTTAAAAGACATCACAATGGATTTAAAATATTTTAATTAAAAAGCAAAATATTTAATACTTTAAGTAGCCAAACTATAAACATGAAAAATAAAAAAATCAAATTGATGAAAAAAAGTTGCATTTATATAGCTAAATAAATTGTCTTGGATTATAGTAAATTTTATTAGCAGTGCGTTTAATAAATGAAACTACTAATTAATTATTTTTAACAAAAGCATGTTGCATCATTATATTATGATAATTGGATAATGAATCAGTTTAACTATATTTAAGTTTAATTGGTGAAAAATTATTAAAATTTTAATTAAAAAAGACCAAAACAATTCAATATACAACGTAATACATTATTAAAAAAAAGTTACAAATTAAAAAAAAAAATTACAAAATTATAAAAAAAAAAAAAAAAATCACCGAAGAAAAAGCGGCAACAAAAAAGTTATAAATATCTTCACTGATAGAAGTTATTTACAACTTTTTGGTAGCAGCTTTTTCTTCGGTGTCTCCCAACACCCTGGATTATATGAGCCCTCCATTTAAAGGAGGACTCATCCATACCGCCATTTCTACGCCACTTATTGGAGGACCTCTCTGAGAGGCCCTGGGTGTTGGGAGCGATAACTTTGATATTGCTCAAATGTTAACGAATCTAAAATTACAAATAGAAGAATATAATAAAAAAGTATAAATAGTTGGAATTTTATTTAATCAAAATATAAATCATAACCTCACCATTATAACAAGTGACGAAAGATGAAGCTAAAAATATTAAAAAAAAAATGAATAAATTAAATAGGATTAAACATTAAAAAAAAATTATTTTAATAAAAATATGAGTATAAAGCAACCAGTTAAAAAATGTCATATTTATTAAAAATTATAAACATTTGCAATTTTATTTAATTAAAATATAATCCATAACCTCACCATTTTCACTGTTAACAGGTGATGATACTAAAAACATTAAAAAAAAATGAGTAAATTAAAAAAGGTTAAACATGTGAAAAAATTTTTTTTAATAAAAATTTAAGTAAAATGGGAACAGTTAAAAAATGTCATTTTTATTAATTAATTCTTTCACCTATTGCACATATTTCTCCATACAAAATATATATAAAATATAAAACACAGCCCAACCATTTATGCTTCTACCAGACACATAAGACAAAAAAAATATACCTCCGAATAATCAATAAAATAATATTTACATATAAATAACATTAACATAAATAAATTTTTTTTACCTATTCCCCTCATTTCCTCCATAAAATTTTCTAGATTAAAATCTATGAATTCATCAACAGGCAAATTATAATCAGCGTTTAGATATAGATAGCGTTTTACCACTTTGATTAATAATCTTTTCGATTTGACGAAGAGTAGCTTGTTCAGCTAATATATATGGAACTTGGTGATGAATGAAATCCTCTATCATAAAAGCTTTGTATGTATTCCAAAGATGCAAAGGGTTGTCAGGTTCACAAAAGGTTAAAATAATTGAAAACAGCTGTCTAATTTGCTTAGGCATTCGCGTTAAAACTGCCTCAGAAAGAGTATTCTGCCATTCGGTGTCATCTTGCAACAAACCTTTTAAAACACATGCTTCACGAAAGGTTTCAAGAACAATTCCATTAACAGTATGCAAATCCTCCCAAGATATTGTCCCTTTCGCCTGCAAAAGTAACAATCTAAGAAAAAATAATTCTCCTGTTGGACTAACTTTATACATTCTTACTATGACCTTATTTTCACCTTTTTGTCTAACCTTCCATTTACAATGTTTATCATCAAATACATAGTGATATGGAATGTCTACATATGAATAGCCATGCGCTCCTTCATTTTCAAAATTCAATTTAAACCATGCCATAAGGTGTGTATCATGTTGAGCAGCACGATCTAAAGCCACTTGTTCTTCTCCTCTAAAATACACAATCTGATTCTCAGGAAAATGAACCTTAAGACGGATAATAGTGTGTGACATATGACTTATGAGATACTCAAATATTCGCCACAGTGCTTCAGGTGCACTAACATAACGACAATCTAAAAAAGTGCTTACTTCATCGTGATTAACTTGTTCATTTATCAAAACATTCGCACAATCATGCCCTTTGTATATATATTTGTACAAATATTTAACAGCCTTTACAGACATGCAAGCTTCAATATTAATGTGGGCTTAATATTTCTTAGATAACCAAGGATTTTAAGGTACCACCCAACGGTTATCTACATTGTTGCCTTTAATATTGATAACCAAACTATTTTCATGACGCCTATAGCGTGGATAGCCATTGTGAATGGCTACTGTGTTAGCATTAAGTTCTTATGGATAATTTTTGCTGCACACCCCATCTTTCATGCAGGGAGGAATCAGTATCCCATATGGGCCTTGAATCATGCAAGTTTTAATAATATCATAAAGTTCAGGATTACCAATCGGATCTGGAATTTCTGCACATTAAATTATTGATATCCTGTGTTACCTCTTGGGTAAATAGCAACTTCCCTGGAAGTTGGGGGAGCACCATCTTCACCAACAAATACAACAGCAACTTCATCATGTGAAGGTAGATTATAGCAACGTCTATCACCCCCTTCAAGTAAAGACATTTTTACAACAGAAGCTGAGCGACCTTCTATAGCTGCTTGACAAATTTCTTCATCTTCTACTACTTCAGCCATGTTTTTAAATGCAAGAGCAAACTATAATGCATGCAACAACGTGGTAATGATTTTTATTTACGTGATTTAACGTTTCAAGTGCAAACTATAATTACTTTGTTATAGTTTGCAATTGCAAACTATAACAAAGTAATTATAGTTTGCAATTGCAAACTATAACAAAGTAATTATAGTTTGCAATTGCAAACTATAACAAAGTAATTATAGTTTGCACTTGAAACGTTAAATCACGTAAATAAAATAACATACTATAATTACTGAACAAACTATAATTACTTTGTTCAGTAATTATAGTTTGCACTTGAAACGTTAAATCACGTAAACAAAAATCATTACCACGTTGTTGCATTCTAAAATTTACTGCTGCAAGTGGATCATATATATATAGTTGAGAATATATTGGTGGAATATTTTGATCTGGCCTAAGATTACTTACACAATGATAAATCTGGCCACATATTTTAAAACATGGAGACCCATGATTTATTGGTTGAACTACATTTGCTTTAAAAGAAGCGAAAGAAAGACATGCATTATAATTTTGAATATGTTTTAAAAAATTACCATTAGCATTATGATCTACATAACTCCCTGTAAATAAATCCTGTAAAGCTTGTGTAAATGGCAACATAGAAAATGTGTTTCATCTGGAAATTTCTTAGCACCACAGTGCTGACAAATTTGATTCATTTCTCCTAAATAATTACAATCTGGAATAGCATTACCTCTTGCTATAGAATACATTCTTCCTGGTCTTGCAGCATTTCTAACATTTTGGTGAAGATTAATTTTATCTCTCCTACCTCTATCTCTATCATTTTTGCGTTGATTATTTTCAATTTGCATAACTGCATTGTCCACATTTGGGTTCAAATTATTTTCTGCTCGTCGAGCAGCATTTCTAACATTTCGTAGTTGATTAATTTCATCTTAGCAATGCTCTATCTCGAGCATTGCTAAGACAATTATTTTCAACTCGCTTAACCACCCTTTTCCTTCGTATACCAGCTTTTCTTACATTTTGTTGACGATTAATTTTATCTCGCCCAAGTCTGTTTCTTTCATTTCAGCGATGATTATTTTCAACACGCCTTATAGGAT